TTTTAGGGAAGGGTCTACAGGGTGTTCAGGGTCTCAATACTATATCGGACTCATAATGATTCTCCTGTTTATAGCCTCCCAAGAGCTGGGATTACAGGCATGTACCACCACGCCCAGTCTCAACTGCCATCTCAGCACACCCTGGGAGCGGGGCGGGCATGGCAGGTCCAGGGATCAAACCCCTGGCCCCTGCGCCTGCTTGCAGGCACTTTACAGTCTCTAGCGTAAAAAAAAAAAGGAAAAAAAAAAAAAAAGATCAATAATGCTTCTAAGAGTCGTTGTGTGGTTTTACAAACAATGCATTTAAATGATCAAGTTTAGTACCTGGCTCTGAGCTGGACTTTCACTTAAGCAATAATGATTGGAAAAAGTAAGTCTAATGAAAAAGTCATTATAATGTTTACATTTATACTGGTTAAAATGGTTTATCAAAGTTAAAATGTATCATTTTGTTCTAAGTTAAAGCCAGAATAATGTACCGGCAAACCTATGAGTTACATAATTTATAACATAAAATCAAATCACATTTTTAGTATATCTTTCTCACTATACCACAAGTATTATCCTTATTCCTTGAGGCTGGCACTATAACTAGATTTAATTATACTTTTATTTAATAGGGTTATCTTTATTTGACCCCACACACACACACACAAATGGTGAGACAGTATTTTTACAAAAATACTAAAACAAATAAAGAGTTCACTTATTTGCTTTTTCTGAGTAGGTTATTAAAGTCAAAAATAGAAGAAAAACAAAAACTCTATATAAGAAATACCAATTTATTGTCTACGGAGACCAAATCTTCTAAGGACTGCACTCAACTTATTCCAGCTACAGAGACAAAAGATGACTTGACGCTAACATATTAGCATTTTAAAAATCTTTCTGATAATCCACTGATCATTGTATTTTTCTCCTACACATACAAATTGTAAATAAACTAGCTTAAACTGCAATTTTATTGAACTTTTACTTTATTTCAAAATGTCTGAAACTATAGTAGAAGGGCATACCAAGGTATAGGACTAGAAATCAGGTCGACAGCCACTGTGAGGTAGAGACGCGTGGTGCTGACTTCAAAACGGGCACACAAGTCTTTGGGAAGTAGACTGAGGCACTGGCTACCCAGGTATTTTATGAAACCCTGCCAAATTATGAACGTAAAATGTGTGTATTTTGGTGTATTAAACTATACTTTTTTTTTTTTTAAATTTTATTTATGTGTGTGTGTGTGTGTGTGTGTGTGTGGCCAGTTCAGCCCACCAGGGGGCGGGGCTGGCTGGCATGTGGTGCTGGAGGATTGAACCACGGTAAACTTGTTCAAAGTAGGTGCTTTAGACCACTGAGCCATCTCACCAGCCCCTTAAACTATACTTTGATAAGGCTAACTTATAAAATATGTCTGTTTCAACAAACTCATATATAAATGGCCCTACAGCGGAATGTGGTGGCTCACACGTATAATCCCAGCCCTCAGAAAGCTGAGGCGGGAGGAGTGCCACAATTCAAGACCACTCTGAATTACATACGGAGAGCCTGTCTCACTGAAAAGTATCTCCCCTTTCTTTTTTTGGAGACAAGGTCACACTCTGCAGTTCAGGTTGGCCTTGAACTTGATTCTCCTGCCTCAGCCCTGCAAGTGCTGCGATTATAAGGGTGTACCGTCACGCCTGACTCCAAAGTATATCTTAAACATACACTCCTACAACTTCATACGCAGACCTTAACGTCTACTGACAATGAAGAAAATTGCACGTTCCACCACCAGAATAAACAGTGGCGGTACTTTGTAAATCTGACAAAATTCAGAACCAGAATCCTGTACTTTTCAAAATTTGGGATGTTACTTACATACTGTACAATTCATCCAGTCAAGTGCACAATGCAAAGATGCTTTAGTGTGTCTGCAGCACTGTCCGACCATTACCACAAGCAGTTTTTCATTACTCTCCCAAAGAAACCCCTTCTAGCAGTCTGAGTGTCTTCCCTTCACCACTGAGCAACTATTAACTTATTTCCTATTTCCACAGATCTGCCTATTTGGGGCATTTTACTTCAAGGAATTCTATAATACGTAGTCTGTTGTGACTGGTTTCTCTGTTTTTTCTAAATTTTTATTTCAATAGATACATGTTTGTAGTATATACATACAACTACCGTGGAAACTGCTACAGTAATTCCTACAAATAGAAGTTACATTCAACCTGTAAGTTCCCCTTGTTAGGCATCATCCCAAAGGGGTAAGGACATCACCAGATCACAGTGACACACGCACGCCCATGTTTACAGCAGCACAACTCATAATAGCTAAATCTAGGAAGAGATATGAATGTTCATCAACAGATGAGTGGATTAAAAAATGTGGCATTCGGACACCAGGGCATACTACTCTGCATAAAGAAGGATTACCTTGGTTCATTTATAGGAAAATGGACGCACCTTGAGATCATAATGTTTAATGAAATAGAAATTGCACATCAAAGAAGCCCACAATGTACATAATAGGCCGTACAAAAGACAGTAGGTAACAGAGAAACATTTTTGAAAAAGGACAGAGAATCAATACATGTAGGGAGATGACCTGGAAAGGAAGGAGAGAAATAAAGAAATAATTAAGAAATGTTATATAAATTCCATAACAGGAATATAATCATGTACTACAAACATGCACTCAAAAAAATAAAAATAGGCCAGATGTTGTGGCGAACACCTGTATTCCCAGCACTTGGGAGGCTGAGGCAGAAGGGTTACTGTGAATTGGAGGCCAGTCTGGGCTACAGGGTGAGTTCAAGGCCAGCCTGAACTATATTCCAAGATCCTGTCACCATTAATTAATTAATTAAAAAATAAAACTAGGCCTATTCAACTCATGTAAATTTTGTTATTTATTTTTTCTTTTAAAATGCTATATTTTGGGCTGGGGAGATAGTTTGGTGGTCTAAGTACCTGCCTGGCAAATGTATGGACCTGAGTTCGATCCCTGGTACCGCATGCTGTGCTGGCCCCAGAGCCCCAGGCATGGTGACACATGCCTACAATCCCAGTGTTGGGGAGTCTGAGATAGGAGGATCACCCTGAGTCTGAGCTGTGTAACAAGACCCTGAATCAATTTTTAAAAATGCTATTTTATTCATTGACATTCTAATTTTTATTTAAGACATTTGGATGTAACTGATAAATTTCTTTTTACCTTTCTCAATATTCTATGGAGAGGTTCTGTATTGAAGTGTTTGTTTTTTTTTTAACTACTCTACTTAGGCTCAAGTAAATGTAGTAAGTCCCAAACTTACAAAC